AGGGGAATGTGCAGCGGGACCTGGGTGTCCTTGTGCACCATTTGCTGAAGGTAAGCATGTAGGTGCAACAGGTGGTAAAGAAGACAAATGGTATCTTGGCCTTCATTATGAGAGGTTTCGAATACAGGAGTAGGAATGTGTTGTTGCAGTTTTACAGGGCCATGGTGAGACCACACCTGGAGTATTGTGTGCAATTTTGGTATCCTTTTCTGAGGAAGGATGCTCTTGCTCTCGAGGCAGTGCAGCAAAGATCTACCAGGCTGATTCCGGGGATGGTGGGTCTGACGTATAAGGAAAGATTGACTAGGTTTGGAACATTTTTCGTTAGAGTTCAGAATGAGGGGGGATCTCATAGAGACTTATAAAATTCCAACAGGACTGGACAAGATAGATGCAGGGCAGATGTTCCCAATGGTGAGTGTGTCTAGAACCAGGGGTCACAGTACGAGAATTCGGGGTAGACGATTTAGGGCAGAGAGAGGAGATATTTGTTCATCCAAAGATTGGTGAGCCTGTGGAATTCATGACCACAGGAAGTAGTTGATGACAAAACAAAGAATGCAACTAGATATAGCACTTGAGGCGAATGGGATCAAAGGTTATGGGGAGAAAGCAGGATTAGGTTATTGAGTTGGATGATCAGCCATGATCATGAAGAATGGCAGAGCAGGCTTGAAGTGACAAATGGCCTCCCCCTGCTCCTATCTTTTATGTTTCTATGTTTCCATGTAATTTAGTTACCGTTCCTTCACTCCCCTCATTTGGGTCATTGATGAAAATTGTGAAAACTTGAGAGCCCAGCACAGACCCCTGCAAGATTTGACTTATCACATTTTGTCAATCAAACAAAAACCCATTTATACTTACTCTCATTTTTCTGCCAGCCTGGCCAGCCAATGTTGATATAGTCCAATACCACCACTACTCTCACTTGCATCAGATGAGTTTTTATTTTGCACAATAACCTATAATGTGGCACCTTATCAAATGCCATCTAGAAATCTAAGTGTGGTGCATCTACGGAGTATCCTTTATCGGCAGCGCATATTACTCCTTCAAAGGGCTGGAAGCAAGTGGGGGTGCTTTGTGCAGTGAAACAGGGAGATTGGATTGGTGGGGAGGCAAAGTATTCAATCTTCAGGGATTTCGAACATCCTGCCTTTTCACTAGCTTTTTTTGGAGTAGGAATCAGGCCTCCAATATAGGTCAGTTAAGCCACCTGCTATTAAAAAAGACTACAAGGATTAAAATGGGCCTCACAGCTATTAACATTCAGTAAGAACTCCAAGCAGCCATTGTTATTTGGAGATCATGACTCCAAAATTTCATGTGGGACTCATGCTAGGATGTAATCCCCAGTTTGGAAAGCTCCGCATGGTACTTCTAACATCTGAAGGTCATTCATCCAATTTCCTCCTTATCTATCAGGAGTGTCATGAGACAGATATTCCACTATCATTGCAGGTCTTGTGGACAAAGATTTCTTCCTATCTGATCCGAATTGGTCTTAGGATCTGAACAAACATTACATCAAAATTTACATCTTCATTTCCGTGTCTGGCATTTTGCCATACATGCAACATCAAACTTCATCTTCTTATGTAGCTTCATGATAACACTGATTCCTTTGCTAAGCTACTAGATAGTATAACTAATTTATTTGTTTTCTTTTCATGATTGAATTGAAGGCAACAGTGTAGTAATTGTCAGAGCTAGATTTGTCCTACCTTATGTAGATAGCGTATATCCAGACAATTTGCTACATTATTGATTGCAAAGTGATAGATTCAAGTTTACCTTGTCGTGCAAGCAATGACTGTACAATAGATTGTAACCTTAAATCCAGAATTTACATCAATTGATCCACGCTGGATTTTGGAACAAAATTTTAAAAATCATAAATAGAAGCACCATGATAGAATATTTCAAAGTCACTGTAGTCCCATAGGACCCTATGCTGAGCTTAACCATACCTCAGAGAACGTTCAGAAGGTGGGGCCCTCAGTTGGTACAAGAGTTCAACCATGCTGTTAGCATCATTGTGGTCTACAGCATAGAAATAGGCCCTTTGGCCCATCCAGTCTGTGCCAATCAAAAAAATCCCTCCAGTCTCCCAGATTAGTGTAACTTCTCTGAATACAACGTCCAGTATCCCAATACAGTGTACCTTCATTGTACACAGCCCCAGTCTCCCAAAACAGTGTACCCAATCTTCAGTCTCATAGTACAGTGTACTCTGTCTGTACACAATCCCCAATGTCACCATCTCTGTACAAATTTCCAGTCTTGCGGTACAATATACCAGTCTCCCAGAACAGTGTAACCTCTCTGTATACAATGTCCTGACTCCCAGTACAGCGTACTTGCTCTCTCTGTATATAGTCCCCAGTCTCACAGTATAGCGCATCCTCTCTGTACATAATTTCCAGCCTCACAGTACAGTGTATCCTCATTGTATACAACTCTGGTCTCCCAGTACAGTGTACATGATCGTCAGTCTCACATTACAGTGTAGCACCTTCTACACAGTCTCCAGTCTCCAAGTACAGTATATTCTCTCTGTATACAATTCCCAGTCTCATAGTACAGTGTAAACTCTCTGTACACAAGTTACAGTCTCACAGTACAGTATAGCTTTGCTGCAGTCAACCTGCAATCTCTCAGTACAATTTACCCTCTTAGCATATAACCCCAGTCTCCCAGCACAGTTACCCAATCTTCAGTCTCACATTACGATGTAGCACCTCTGTAAACTATTTCCAGTCTCCGAGTACAATGTACTCTGTCTGTGCACAATCTTCAGTCTTATAGTACAGTGTATTCTCATTATATCATAATATATAATCACCAGTCTCCCAGTACAGTATACCCAACCTCCAGTTTCTCAGTACAGTGTAACATCTCTGTGCACAATCTCTAGTCTTCCAGTAAAGTGTATCTTGATTGTAAACAACACTAATTTCCTAGTACAGTGGATTCAATCTGTAGACTTTCAGTACTGTCTAACACCTCAGCATGCAATTTCCCATCTCCCAGCTCAGTGTACCCAATCTTCAGTCTTGCATTACAGTGTAGCACCTCTCTACGCAATCTCCAGTCTCCGAGTAAAGAGTACTCTCTCTATGCCCAATCTTGAGTTTTACAGTACAGTGTACTCTCATTATATATAATCACTGGTCTCCCAGTACAGCGTAGCCAACCTTCAGTCTCTCAGTACAGCGTACAGACTCAAGGAGTTGAATGACCTTCTCCCTGCTCCTGTATAACAGACTCGAGGGATTGAATGGCCTTGTCCTGTTTTTTTATTCACAGGATGAGGGCTTCGCTGGCTAGACAGCATTTATTGCCATCCCTAATTGCCCAGAGGGCAGTTAAGAGTCAACCACATTGCTGTGGGTTTGGAGTCACACGTAAGCCAAACCAGGTAAGGATGGCAGTTTCCTTCCCTCAAGGACATTAGTGAACCAGATGGGTTTTGCCGACAATGGACAATGGATTCATGGTCATCATTAGGTTCTTAATTCCAGATATTTATTGAATTCAAATTCCACCATTTGCCGTGGCGGGATTCAAGCCTGGGTCCCAGAATGTTATCTTGGTCTCTGGATTAACAGTCCAACGATAATACCACGAGGCCATCGCCTCGTCTCTGCTTGTCTCCCCTCCCCTCCCCCTCTTCCTGTGTAACAGCCTCAAGGGGCTGAATGGCCATTCTGCATCAAATGTCAGCCATCCAACCCACTGAGTTAATCAAGCCCAACAGGATACTTAGGTCAATGTGACATTGGGTAATATCATGATGCAACACTAATTCACAAATAAAGTATAGCAGCGTATTAGCACAATTTCCATATTAACATACAATTCTGATAAGTGAAACAATTTGTCAGGGGACATCTTATTTTAAGTGAGATTAGTCTGGAGATTCAATAGGAAGCAAATTATTAAACTGGAGAGGGTTCAGAAAGGATTTACCAGGATGTTGCTGGGAATAAAGAGTTTGAGATATAAAAATAGATTAGAAAGACCGGGACTTTTTCCACTGGAGTGTAGGAGGTTGAGGGGTGACCTTATTGACGTTTATAGAATCATGAGGGATGTAGATAAGGTGAATGACAAGGGTTTTCCCTACCGCGGGGGAGTTCAAAACTAGGGGGCATATATTTAAGTTGAAAAGAGAAAGATTTAAAAGGGACATGAGGGGCAACTTTTTAAACATAGAGAATGGTTCATGCGTGGAATGAACTGCCAGAGAAAGTGGTGAATGCAGGTACAGTTACAATGCTTAAAAGACATGGATAAGTTCATGAACAGGACATGTTTGGAGGGATATGGGCCATATGCAGACAGGTGAGACTAATTTAGTTTGGAAGCAAAGTCAGCATGGACTAGTTGGACCAAAGCATCTGTTTCCATGCTGTATCACTTTATGACAAAAACAACACCATTTTTAAACCAGATTACTGCAGCATAATTTTCCAAGTGTGCATTGCTATGGGATGCAGTGCAAACTTATGTTTACAGGAAAATCATGGGGAATGTTCTTACACTAGTGTAATAAATTCAAAAATTAACCCCTTTTAACTTTAATTCTGTTATAAAGAAGCTGATTAGCCACGTGTTGTAAACAAGGAGCTTTACCTGAACCAATTTTCATGGCTTAATATTACAAAAGCACATGGTAATGTCAAATTCATGTTGACAACTGATATTATGCTGTACACTGATGTTAATTTTGTCTTCTCTAGTATGAAAGCAGTATACACTGAGCTTCTCAATCCATCCTACTTTTAATACACAACACTACGGAGATTTACTCAAAGTGTATGTTTTTTTTGTAACGTCAAAAGTAGTGACAAAAGCCTTCTTAAATTTCTATTCTATAATTTTAATACAAGAATACAAGATCACAACCTCTTATTATGGGTTACAAATGCAGTTAAATTCTTGTAAACATCGAAGGTTCATGAAAAGCACTCTTTTGTAACAGAATAACATACTTGTCTGGACTTCTTTTGAGTTTGGCATCTGCCGTTTTCACTGCAACTTTGGTCTTCTTGTCTTGCTCAAGCATTTTATAATTTCAGTTAGACAGAGTTAAAACATTCCTGTAGAAAGAAAAATAAGTTCAAATATTAATACAATCTAAATTCAAACTATTTCTATATTGTAAAATTTTTTTAAAACCTATCATTATTTTTCACAGTTGTATGCCCTTTCCTTTTCAAGGCAATGGCGCTAACAGAGTGCTGGCACCTCACTCAAAATATCATAGCTGGGCAGGTAGGAAGAGAGATCAAAACTGGAGTGGAGGGATGGAGGATGTGTTACATGCATGGGAAAGGAAAACAAGTAAAAAAGATCAATGCTGTAGTTTGGGAGACGGAAAAGATTATGTTGTTAGGTTGGGGGAAGAAAGTGCACAAAGAAGGACAGAAATGGGGTTGTGGCTTGGTTATGGCAGAGGTAAAGAGGTAACCATCAAAGTGGAGGTGGGGACAGAGAAAGAGAAGGAAGGATGAGGGTTGATTGTGGTGTATGGTATTTAGAATGGAGGAAGGGAGAATTGGAGGATTCAAAGGTCATTGAGCTATGTGTTACAAGTGGAGGAAGGACAATGCAAAAGAGTTCAGGTTGGTGGGGCTTGGGCTGTTCACTGGCAATTAACCATGTAAGCTTGTTGGGGACCTACTCTTCCAAATGCACAAGTTGTACTGCAAGTGTACTCACCTTATGTATTAGATCTATTTTATCTCCTTTCTTAGAAAGCCTGTTAAAAATTTAGTCACAAATTCCTTTAAATATTTTTTGACCACCGACCTCTGAATGATTCACTAAACAAAAAAACGAACTGCAGATGCTGGAAATCCAAAACACCTGAAATTGCTGGAGAAACTCAGCAGGTTTGGCAGCACCTGTGGAGAGAAAGCAAAGCTAACATTTTAGGTCCAGTGACCCTTCTTCAGAACTACAGGGTTCCTGCTGAAGCTTTCTAGCAATTTCTGTTTTTGTTTCAGACCTCTCAGCAAGAAATTATTGAGTTGGAAAATGTAGAATTCATAGGGGTGAGAGTAGGAAATAAAAAATCAAGATGACACAGGTACGAGTCATGTATAGATCCTCTGTCATAGCTGCGTAGTGGGACAGAGAATATATTAGCGGATATTAAGGGCATGTAACAGAGGCTGTACCTTAATCATGGATAACTTTATTCTTCATGTAAATTGGCATAATCACATCAGCAAAGAAAATCAAGAGAAATAATTCATAGAGTGTACCTGGGACAGTTTCCTAGAACAATATGTTGTGAATACAATCAAAGATCACGCTATTTGGGATCTGATGATGTATGTTGCAGCAGGTTTAATAAATGATATCAGAATAAATGTTCCCCTCTGAAACAGTGACCATAATGCCGTAGAATTTAGCATACAGTTTGAGAGTAAGAAACTTGGGTCAGAAACAACTGGACTAAGCTTAAATAAGGGTAATTACAAAGGAATGTAGAACTGGCTGGAGTGGACTGGGTACAGGGTTTAGCAGTAAAGAGGGTTGACAAATAATGGCAAAATAGTTCATGGCTCACAGCAAAAACATATTCCAGTGAGGAAGAAGGATTCTAGGAAGGGAACAACCCCAACATGGTTAACCAGTGAAGTTAAGGGTAGTATCAGTTTAAAAGAAAAAAAACAATGTGGCTTAGAATAGTAGTAAGCCAGAGGGTTTGGAAAAATTTAAAAATCCACAAAAGAGGACAGAAACATAATAAGGAGGGAGACAATAAACTTTGAGGATAAACTTGCAAGTAATATTAAGACAGAGATCAAAAGATTCTTGACTATATAAAAAGGAAGAGCGAAATCAAAGTGAGCATAGGTCCCTTACAAAATGAGGCTGGGAAAATAAAAATTGGGAACCGGGAAACAGCAGAAGAGTTGAATAAAGACTTGGCATCAGTCTTCACGGTAGGAGACATTAATAGCATCATAAAATTATTAAATATATAAGGGGCAAAAAAAGAAGAAATGAAAACAATAACTATCACTAGATTTTTGATTTGATTTTTTTATTGTCACATGTACCTAGTGAAAAGTTTTGTTTTGCGTGCAATACAGGCAGATCGTACCATACAAAGATCGTACAATGATAGAATAGAGCAAGGAATACAAAGTTATGGCTGCAAAGAAGGTGTACAAAAAGCAAGATCCAGAGTAGAATTAAAATTTGAGAGGTCCATTCAGAAGTCAAATAACAATGGGGAACAAGCTGATCTTGAACCTGTTGGTACGTGTGTTTAAGCTTTTGTATCTCCTGTCCGATGGAAGAGTTTGGAAGAGATTATAACTAGGGTGGGAGGGGTCTTAGATGATGTTGGCTGCCTTTTCAAGACAGCGAAAAATGTTGATGGAGTCAATGGATGAAAGGTTGGCTTGCGTGATTGATGGGGCTGTGTTCATAACTCTCTACATGATTCAGATAGAATGCTTTCTATGATGCATCTATAAACATTGGACTCCTTATGGACATGCTGAATTTCCTTAGCCTCCTGAGAAAGAATAGGCATTGTTGTGCCTTCTTGATCATCGCATCAACGTGGGTAATCTAGGTCAGATTTTTGGTGATCGTCACTCCTAGGAACTTGACGCTCTCAACCATCTCCACCTCAGCTGCACGTGCCCTCCTCCGTGTTTCCTGAAGTCAGTGATCAGCTCTTTAGTTTTGCTGACATTGAGGGAGAGATTGTTACCTTTACACCATGCCACCAAGCACTCTCTTTCCTATATTCTGTCTTGTCATTGTTTGATATCCAGCCTACAACGGTGGTGCCATCAGCAAACTTGTAGATGGAGTTTGGATGAAATTTGGCTACACAGTCATGAGTGTACAGGGAGTACAGAAAGGAGCTGAGTATGCAGCCTTGCAGGACACCAATGTTGAGGATTGTCATGGAGGAGGTGCTGTTGCCTATCCTCACTGATTGCAGTCTGTGGGTCAGGAAGTCAAGGATCTATTTGCAGAGGATGGAGCAGAGACCTAGGTCTTTGAGTTTGGAGATTAGTTTGGTTGGGATTAAAGTTTTGAAGGCAGAGCTGTAGTCAATAGAAAATAGTCAATTCAAAAAAAAGTTCTAGGGAAATTAATGGGACTAATCACTAATAGGTCCCCTGGACCTGATGGAATATATCCTAGGACATTAAAGAAAATGGGTACAGAGATAATGGATGCATTGGTAGTAATCTTCTAGAAATCTTTAGATTCTGGAAAAGTCCCAGCGGGTTGAAAAACTACAAATGTAACACCTTTATTCAAAAAGGAAGGAGACAATAAAACAGGTATAAATCAGAGCAATTTAACATGGCCAATCCACCTAAACTGCACATCTTTGCACTGTGAGAGGAAACTGAAGCACCCAGGGAAACCCACACAGACATGGAGAGAACATCTGTGTGGAGTTTGCACAGTCATCCATGGATGGAATCGAACCCAGGTCCCTGACGCTGTGAGGCAGCAGAGTTAACCACAGAGCCACTGTACCACCCCCCTGGCTAGTTAGCTTAATTTTTGTTATTGGGAAAATATTACGGCATATTATTAAAGATGCATGGCTTCATGAAAGGGAAATCATGTCGGACAAATTTACTAGAATTCTTTGAGGAGGTAAGGCAGAATAGATAAAGGCTACCACATATTAGGCTACTTAATAAGACCCCATGTTGCAAGAGGTAATATTTTAGCATGGATAGAAGATTGACTAACTAATAGAAGACAGAGAGTTAGGATAAAGAGGGCATTTTCAGAATGGCAACCTGTAGCTAGTGGTGTGCTGGGGCGTACTGGGGCAATAATTACTTACAATATATACTAATGGCTTGGATGGGGAAAGAGAATTTACTATAGCCAAGTTTGCAGATGACACAAAAATAGTTGAAAAATCAAATGGTGAGGATGACTCACAAACGAGTGGGCAAATAACTTGGCAGATCAAATATAATGTGGGGAAATATGAGGTTATGCACTTTTGCAGGAGTAAAAGAGGTGAATATCTATTATAAATGGATGAGTTGTGTATGTGCACGTGTCTGTGTTGGGCATTTTTTTTTGTGGAGCCCTACTGGAACTTTCTGATGTGAAGTGTGATAGACTAAATGATGATCATGGTCCTTCTAAGTTGATTAGGCTAAATAAAATTCAGCTACAAAATCTTCCAAATAAAGGGACAGCAAATAATTAAAAATAATTTTCTTTGCATCAATTTCTTGGTGCTATTAGCGAATACTGTGCTGCACTTGGAACAGTCCCAAGTGCTAGAATGGTTTAGGGAAGCAAAAGTTGAACAATTTCAAAATCATTGAATTGTAGAAAGCTGGGAAAAATAAGCATCATTTGCAGCTTTGGTCTAATGGACCAATGGGCCAATTAGCTATTTAAATGTAGAAAGACTGCAGAAATCTATAGAATAGAGGGATTTGGAAGTCCTTGCTCATGAATCATAGAAAGCTAGGATCCAAGTTCAGGTATTAGTGAAGGTAAATGCAATGTCGGCCTTTATTCCAAAGGGAATGGACTATAAAATTAGCGAAGCTTTGTTAAAACTATAAAAGGCACTAGTCAGACCACAGCTGGAATGCTGTGTAAAGTTTTGGGCCCCTTATCTAATGAAAAACTCACTGGCATAGGAGGCAATCCAGAGAAGGCTCACTGAGAATTCACCAGGCATGGAGTCTCATGAAGAGAGGTTGAGGAGATTGGGTTCATACTCATTGGAACATAAGAATGCAAGGCAACCTTATTGGACCATACAAGATTCTTAGAGAATTTGACAGAGTAGATGCAAAAAGGTTGTTTCCTCTTGTGAAAGAGTCTCCAACCAAAGGGCATAATCTCAGAATATGGGGTTGCACATTCAATGCAGAAATGGGAGGAGGAATTTCTTCTCTCAGACCATTGTGAATCTGTGGAATTCTTTACTGCATAGGGTTGTTGAAACTAAGTTATTATGTGTGAAGGTAAAGTTGCCATAGTCTCAGAGGACCATAGGGCTGCTTTCTTAGACAGAGATGACTGGTGGTGAGCTTAACTGGAGTGTCAGCACACCTCTGGTGAAGGA